AGAGATGGGAAGTGGGCATTTACTCATTTGCTTATGGATTCATTCATTCATTCACTCAGCAAATACTGAATATGTGCCAAGCACCATCCTTTGTACTAAGCATGCAACAGAAAGTAGACAAAACGAAGCCCTTACATTCATGAAAGATTATGTTCTGATGGGAGGGAAAGCCATAACCACTGATATCAAGTCAATCCCAACCTCCAGTGACCCTGTAGAACTGACCCACAGGATAATCCAGGGTTAGAAGCCTTTAGGGAAGCACACTGCCTCACCTTTCTCCCACATAGCAGCTAGCAGGCTCGAACTGCCCACATTTATGTTAGCAGCTTGGACACTCCAATCGCTACACCACCGGCTTTCCTACAAATAAAGAGATTACACAAGGTATTCTGTGGATAAGCACTTTAAAGAAAACTAAGAGTACAAAGAGAACTACTAGAGTTCCTTAACTACCTGTTGAAATAAACCATTAAATGACATTAAGGTCCCTTTGAGGACAGTTAGCTAAAATTGGGGGAAGAAATAGAGTAGTGAAAATAACCACTATGTTAATGTGTGGGTTACTAATAGGTCTGACAAATTTGCCTTTGGATCTTAGCTCTAAAATGGCTACAAGTACCCAGAAAAGCCCTTATCTGCCACAGACATCACCAGGGAAGAAATGGAAACAATAATAACAAGTTTCTCGAGTCCTCACCAGGCAGGGGTCCCCCACCCTCCTGAGAATGCACTTTGATGTGGGGCTGCCAAAGGGAGAGAAGGAGAGGTGCCAGTTTAGAACTGATAGCTCTCCCTTACATCTCATTGGCAAACCGCTATGTTTCTGTCTCAGAAAACTGCAACAATTATAGGACCATCATGGAGCCTGCTCAATCCATTCCTGGAAAATTGCTTGAAAGTGTAACATTTGACTACTGTGGCTTTGGGTTGTCCTCATTGTTTTTCAAATTAATACCTTGTCATTGTTTTAGCAGGTGTTAAGAAATGTTACTAGCAACCCAGGGGCCAAGCATTGGCCCTTTGCTTGATAATTGTTTGCTTTGTATCAGGGAAAAAAAATTATATATAGTCCTACTGTTTCCAAACCCTCCTCATTTTCACCCTGGAAATTACACAGAAGTGTTAACTAACTTCAATTTGCAGTGCCTGACAGTCATGTCTTGCAGAAAAATGATACTTTGTGATCTAAGGTAAATCACAGTAATGAAAACTCATCTTTTTTAGTTATTAGCAAATGTACATATCTACTGTGGAAATTTAAGGGGTTTGTGGCAGCTCTCCTAATGACCCATATTACAGTGTTTTAATAGGTTTCTTTGGAGATAACTTTGATTGTGACATCTCAAGCAGTAGGCATTCTAAGAGTTTGGTGGTGGTAGTTGGGGTTGGTTTTTTTTCTTGCAATAAATTGTTTCTAACTACTGGATGAATCACCTGCTTGCCTTTACAGAAAATCTAATTTATTTAAAAATTCTCTCTCTCTCTCTCTCTCCGCCCTCCTCCTCTCTCCTCTCCTCTTCTCTTTCTCTCTGTCTTCTCTCTCTCTCCTTAACCCTTGTATGAAGACACAAAGACAAATAGCCAAATGTAATGCCTCTTAAGTAAATGGATTAGCAAATCCTCACTACATGCCTGGATTTAACCAAGCCCCCTCTCAAAAAAAATTTTTTTAAGTGATTTGGGTAGGAGGGGGCATAGACTGAAATGTGGTATTTTTATTTAGCACTTTCTCAATTTTTTTTTTAACGATGAAAAGGGATTGGGATGGCTGTCACCTTTTTCTAATGATACAGGAAGGATGGTAGAAAACTGAGTATTTTTGAATTCTTTAATTGGGGTTTCAATCTAAAGGAAAGTTGAAGACTATCTCTGGGGTATCCAGTGAAGATTTACCCACTGAACTTTTTTCTACCACACACACACACACACATGCAAAATCATAGTAGAAAAATAATCTCTAAGAAGCTACAATTCTGACATCATTTTTAGCCAAGCTTGCTTTCTAGAAAGAGCAGGGAGTTCTAACATCAATTCCTACCAGCACAAGTTGTGAATGATAACGAACAAGGGGCTGCAAAGGTGATCCAATGAAAGCAGTCGGGAATTTGGAGCGGGGAAAGGGGCTGAAATATGTGAAAGACGAAGGAAGAGTCGCTGTCTGAAATTCCATTTTCCTGTTTCTTTGCAGAAACCCGGGATGGACGTGGCCGATGCCTACGTGACTTTTGTCCGCCACTCTCAGGATGTCCTGCGTGATAAGGTCAATGAGGAGATGTATATAGAAAGGTTATTTGAT